ATGACAATGGAAGAGAAAATATTTATTGATCCATTAAAAATCTCCAAATGAATTATCATGGACAAGAAATGCAAGAGTAGAAAGTTTGATATTGTAAAACAAATGAAGTCACTAGTACACTAGCAGAACAATGGGAAGATTTCAAATTTATATAATTATTCTAAAATACTAAAATGATAAATATATGTTGGATTATAAAGAGAAAAATCTGAGTTGGAGTAAAATAATAGTGACAAACTAAGTTAATACTAAATGAAGATATTTTCAACTACATCATTCACTCATAACTTGAGAAGAAGATTCCACTCAATCTTCTATAATAAAGTAATAACACTTCTCAAAAAATATCAAAACATTATCCTACTCCCTCATATGTAGTGATCAATGAGTCGTTAAATCAAGCTATATGTTTCTTATCTCCATCAGATCCTAAGGTCACTAAAGTGATGAGTGAAGATAGTTAGGTTAAGACATGACATGTTGAGAACAAAAATCTACTTATAGAGGGTGTTATTTTCTAAATAAAATTATGTATTGACTTAGGCATGTGACGTTGAGAGTCAAGACTTGCCCATAAGGGATGAGATCTTTGCAGAGATCAAATAAAGGTATTTGGACTATTAATCTTGTAAAATCAATTATATGTTTGGAATTAAATGGTGAAATCTTATAGGGAGATTCTTCAAGATTTGATGTAGCCAATGAAGAATGAATCATTATAAAAATCTTTATATTCCACATAGTCATGAGTGAGAAAGAAAGAGACCAAAGTGACCTCATGATGAAAAGAGAAACATGTGTCAACACATACAAGTAGACATAATAATAAAATAAAATAGAAAAATATAAGAAACTGATTCACCTCCCACTCTTGGTACTTCACTTAGCTACATCAAACTCAACAAAACTTAAACTAGGTTGATTTTAGTCACAACGTCTTCTACAATCAAATAATTTCAAGATGTGAATCTTGGAGTCTAGTTTATTTGTCCCTTTATTGGATTTTATATATGATTTATTTTTTCATCAAATTTAGAAAAAATTAGTGATATATTTTTTAACTTTTTTGTTTATACTTGTGATTAAGTTTTGAATAATGACATGGAGGAGTTGAGCCCAGGATGTAAGTTTGGCTCACCTAGAACTATTAATTGAAAAGAAAATTTAGGTGTGAAATTCTAAGATAGTTGATCCTATTAGCTTGCAATTCTAGTGAGACTCAAGAGGCCGAAAAAGCATAACATTATTACAATGACTAGTACTTAGCTCTATGGGACTGATTAAAATTAAAAATCAAAAGAAGAGGTGAAGAAAACATAGATTAGTTAACAAAAAGTAAGAACTATGATGAGATCAATTCAAGCCCCCTTCTTAATCTTGGTATGGGTTTAAATCCACTAATAAAGGAACTATAATAGTGATTTTTGAGAAGTCTTTACTATGAATTTTGAGAAGAATTTGCAAGAAAAAAACTGGTTTGTTTTATGTTGTACATCTAGAATCATGATAATGAAGGTAGTTACTGCAGTCCTAAAATATTGAGTTGTCATTCTTAGGTATCGATGGAACCCAATGTATGAAAATACTGAAAAGCTCATATACCTTATTTAGTAATCTCGAAATCTACCTCTAAAATTGGAACTGAGTGACATACCTCATTTCTACAAACATCTTGATTCAAAATTTAAGATGCACTATTCTCCCAAGAGAAAACAGTTGCACTAATATCATAATAAGCTTTGTAGTAATAGGTTAAAAAATTCAATTGGTAATGAATAAAATAACCTTGTCTTTGAACTACAATTTGACTGTAATATTAAATTATTGGTAATTATTTGCCTACTTTACTTAGATTACATCTTGAGGAAATTCCAGTTCCAAAAAAAGCATCATATATCACAATCAACAAACAGAAAATATAGTGTTTAGAATTTAACCGAATTATTTTGATCTCAGGATTATAAGATTGGGTGATCACATGATTGTATAGACTTACTATATGATCTATAGATAGAGATTAAATCTCAAGCCCATATTATATGAACATGCTATCTATCTCCAAGCAATAAATATACCATAACATATGCCATATATTCAAAGTCCCAATTAAAAAACAATATCTGCTGTCAGAATTTTACAATAATTATTTACAACCTATACATATGTCACAACAACTCATACCATGTAAACTAGAGGGATAAGATAAACTTACGTAAGCTAGGAATGGCTGCGTATGGTAGTGTTTCCAAGTTCAACTCTGGTTAAATACTTTTTCATGTTTTTCTATTGAATATCATAAGTAAGAAATATTATTGAGAAAATATGCCTCTTAACTTATGAAATATTTTCCTTCCTACCATAAAATGTTGTACATACGTTGAAGAGGCTGAGGATTCACTTCATGGATTGTTCGGTTGGTTTGGAAATGAAGCCAAGCCCCTTCTTACTGTTACTACCAACCTTTTGCCCGGGGGGAACTGAGGGTTGTGTTGCTACACTGCAGTTGCATGCACAAGAAGCCAGAAGATGGAGGATCAAGCTGAGTGCTCTCAATCAGAGGCCATGCCTATCCTTATTTCGTTAGCCGGGGTACTGTTCTGTTTTCAACCAACACACCGCGGCGTATCTAGCCAGAGGGCCGCTTCGCACGGAGATCCGTAGCTCATCATCGCCGATAGGTACCACGTGTGGGAGTCGCCAAGAGACCATACAGAGCGGGCGAGTAACAGTGCAACAGATTAACGGGAACTACCTTTGTTGATTGATCCATCGAGAGATAGACAGAGGTGTCCTCGAGAAACGGTTACTGTTGGGGATGATAAAAGGCTGAGCTGTAGACATTGACGATACTATTGGTAGACATGGGGAGATGGTCTGCGTGACTCGCGAGGGTACTGGAGACCTCGAAACCTTCTATGTAGACCCTTCTCGGGATGAACATTCGCAGAATAATCTGTCGGGAAGACGCTCTCTTCTGGGCATCGCCCATAACGTCGATAATTTAATGCCAACTTTATTTGGAAGAAGGGTAATGAATTCTTCCTAGCTGCTGTCCTTCATAATTGTGCCGTCAAAAGCAACAGTAGAAAACTTGACATTTCTTCTGAGAAGGCACAATTGGCCGACTTTCTTCGAGAGCTTCGCCCCTGTTAGAACATGGCGATTCACGCTATGAGTGCTCAACTGAAAGGAAAATACCAGTTAGGTGTCAGCCAAAAGAGATCATCACATTGAAATAGATACGTAGAAAATTAGACTAAAATTTATAAAGAAAAAGAGTTTGTACTGAAGTTCTGTTAAGGCGACAAGTTGCAACCTATCGATATACATTTATCCTCAGTTCTTTGACGTGATATATATCACATTTCCAATGGGTGATACAGGCACTAATTTTGACATTTAATTAGTTAATTGACTGTTTGATGCAAGGGTGCGTGTATTTTTCTAAACACATAAAGGTAATGAATGTTCCCATCAATTTCTTACCTTGTTCTTACAAATATTTTATAAAACATACAATGGGGTACATGTTCCTTCAAAACTGTCAATCGTTCATCCATTCTATAGTTCAATACTACTACTTATCTCAGCTGACCAAGTACATAGACATATAACCATCTCCAACTACTTTCATTTTTCCAGTAAAATTACTTTTAAAATATTTAATGATTAGAGAGGTAATTCCCCTGAATAATCTTCAAATATTTAAAATTATTTTTGGATGCATCCTACATTTTCATAGAAACAAGTCATGGAAAAATCTACATTCAAGTAATAACTTATAACATAGCCAAAAGGATGAATGATTGAGGTGAGTCAAAAATTATAAGAGGGTGGGCAGGAAGAGATGAACTATAAAGTCTGGTGAATGGGCTATGGCATTTACTGCATTGCCATTGTCTGATCAACACTATTGCATTCCCATAAATATGCAAAAAAATATAGCAATGGGCTACCTGGATTTTATACTTGCAGGTACAGGAGCTGCTAGAATAATCAATAAATTACAATCCTCACAATACTTTAAACAATGTGATTCATACACTAGGTGGGAATGTACAGTTAAAGTCCCTTTGGGATGATGTATGACCTAAGAGATGAGGTGAGTTGATAATTTTCTTGGCTATAGCGAAACCTTGCACAAATTGATTAGTTAATGGGACCAGTTCCACATCTACCACAAAATTAAGTTAAATGTGTAACATGCAAGGTATTTCAAATTTTATTTTGATTCATTTTTATGTTAGTTAGCAGTGTACCCTGGTATTCATTTACACATTTCAAATTAATTTATGTGTCTAGACCCAATAAATCTGGTATTTATTGATATCTCCATGAATTTAAAAATTAAATTCGATCAAAATTTCAATTGAGTGCCAACATCTCCAAAAACACAGGCTGTGGGAAAAAATTGGATTAAAAGAGATATAGAGATGAGGGCTGGAAAACAACTAATATATTACTTTAGAGGTTCAAATGCAACAATCTCTAAGACAGATGATTTAAGGGACAGCCCTTGAACGTATACTTAAACATGATCAAGTGTAAACATAGTACGAAACGTTTTATAATTTGGATCTAGTATCTTTAAATCGGTCATGATTAGGCATAAATTGAAGTGGCTGATTTTCTAAAAAAAGTTGTAGGTATGTCTTTGGCTATAGAAAAATATAAAGGGAGAGTGCAGGAGAACATACCCTAATTGGGCCTGCAGTTCTTACTATCCCTCTCTCTCTCTTCGCTCACTTTTATATTTGTTGTGCATGACACTACATTGCGTATCCTTATTCCTCTTAAAGTGTTGGAGAGAAGTTGCAGTACTCTCTCTCTTCCCTCCTAATTACCTCTCTTTCTCTCGTTCTCTCATTGTGTATCTTGTTTTCTCATCCAATTTATGTGCTGGCATTGCTGCAATGAGAAGATAAGATTATTCCCCTTGTTCTTCTATAGACAGCAACACTCATCCTTGCCTCGCATCTATAACTCCCATCTCTCAATGGATGAAAGATCTCAGCAGCTACACTGTCCTTTCAATTCCAGGTGATACAACGATAGCCATTTCGGCATTATAAATTGAGTCTCTTTTGCCTACAATCTTACTCATCCATTGGTTATAAGTTTTACTCTAGAATCAAACTTTATAATCCGTTGTTTCGTGAATTGTTAGCTTGAAATAGTTTTTTAATTTTCTCCTTCATTTGTGCTTTTCCTATGGACATTAGAGATTATGATTCAAGATGGGTACTGAGCAATCCTAACCTTCAACAATGAGCGATCTTCTTTGTCATGGTCTACATAGAGAGAATTCCCATAGGCAAGGAATTAGATCTCTTTGCACAAGAGGGTTATGAGGACTGTTTATGACCATTGTTAAATGTGAGAAAAGCTTCATGTTCCGTGGTCAGTCTGTGTCGCTATTTGAATCGCTATCCCAATTGATATATTTATGTGGTAAGTACATAAGCATGCATCAACTAACTTCTCTGTTAAATTTCATATCCTTGATCACTTAATGAAGGTCTGGATCCTGATCAAATGTTTGTCAAGAAAATCTATGTGCTGACCTATGATGATGTTGAAGGGGATTGGATGTAGGTTGGAGATGTCCCTTGGGTGTCTGATATCTGCCATCCTCCATGTATATAGGCATATACAATTGTACTTGTACACTTCTAATTAGCAATGTTTTTTCCATCCTATCTTGGTCAGCATGTTCTTGTCATTTGTGAAGAGTTTGAATATCAGATGGGCTGACAGACTCTAGATTGTCTTCTTTTCTCAAATTCTCATATCTCCCTCTCCCTCTCCCTCTCTCTCTCTCTCTCTCTCTCTCTCTCTCTCTTTTTCTCTCTTCATCTGTGTTGTGACTGGGAGCAAGAAGTAAGCATGGAAAAAAGCCACATGATTGAGATTAAGCTGAGGAATGCATCACACTTTTGATTGCCCCTCCTCAAATCGTACTGTTCAAGTAATAGTATATTGAATGGATGGACGTATACTTGGAAAATGTGTCTTCTTGATCCTTTTTTTTAGTTTCTCTATTAATAAATAGATTATTTAATGCCTAGTACCCATGATTATCCTTTCACCAACGTCAGAAATTATTAAAATAGTTAAAATTCATTATAGTTGGCTTCACACTTCTAGTTACTCCCATTGCCCTTTGAAGGCTCTAACGAACGGGCTGTCATAGCGAGTGGGGATCCCTTTTGAAGAGGGTGTGAACCTTTTCTTTTACTCATTTATTTCCATCTCTTGACACTCTCAATATCTTTAATTTCAAATATACATGTTAGAGCAATACGTCTTATATGGACTTCAACAAAAGCGATGCTTACACTGCAAAGTAAGATAGAAAAAAAAACAACTCACAATAAGAGAAATAACATAAGGATTTTATATGGTTCGGAGGTTGGGCTCTTATGTCTACAAGCGACGATGAAAGCTTTACTAGATATGACAGTAGTACAAGAAATCACTCCTCAAAAACTTAGAGAACAAATCTCTAATCTTGACCCTTCTAAGATCTCAAAGAATAGATCCTTGATCTTAGCCCTCTAATGCACTCACCAACCAAAGAGATATTTCTTGGAAGCTCTCTCCCAAACACTCTTTCTTTATAGTAGAACAAAGGTAGAATGGAGTTGCTTTATATTGTCTTAAATGAGGAGAGGTGACTCTCTATTTATAGACACTTTGCGGCCACCTCGACAATTGTGCCAACATAAGGCTACAAAACCAGTGCCATGTCGAATCGAGGGATAACGACAAAGGGAGGGGCAGGGGAGAGAGATAGAGGTGAAGTTACAAAATCATCACCAGTGTAGGCTGAAACAAAGCCCACAGGTTTCATTAGGAAGTTCACAGGTTTAATTAGGTGAAGGGGAGACATGATCTGGAAGTCATTATATACAGAGCTATTGAAGTACTACCGAGTAGAGTTGCTCATGGTCCTACCGGGTAGAGTTAGGGATGGCTAGAATCTGAAATGATTGAAGTACTATTGGTAGATTGAGGAATTACAATTGTTTTTTTCTGCTCAGTAATGTTGATGTATAGTAAAATCAAGCTACGAACTATTATTTCTCCAGCGAGGAATCAGTAATCTAATGTTTTCCATATTTGTACATGTTCCAGGCCTACAAATAATTATTTGCGATTAAAACACAAGTATGACTATGTTCACTGTAAGCCTTGAAGGTATCCTTCCGAAGTGTGAAGTTTGGCTTTAATGAGTTGGCACCATTTTCTAGCTTCACCTAAAATTTTACCTAGATTGGCTGGACATCTTTTTAACTAGTGTTCTTTTATTTTATTTTTTCTTCATATAAGAGAAGAATCTGGCTTTCTGACAGTATGAAAGTTTGGTCAGCACACTGAGTGATTTGTATACCAGGTAGTCTAATGATTTTTTAAGACGTTATTTGCATTAGTGCACTGGGTCCAAATTTTACCAGGTCCCTACAATCCAGCTACTTTGAGTTCAGGGTAGGATTGAAAGTTAAATAATAAAATAAGTCACAGTAAGTTTGTCGCTTTGAGAGAGTCTTCGGACGGGAATCTTGGTCCTACCATTTCACATCCATGTTGTCACCCTCATCATACCAATCTTTCCTCACCTAACATCATGCCTCGTGTTTCTGTCATCCCCTTGCATGCTATTTTCCCCATCTACAGACCGTTGTATTTTCTTGCATTCTGTAACATTTGCCAGTGCACTAGTCAGAAGTTTGTTTGTTGATGCACCCCGTCTGTGCACTATCCATGGCTTCCTGTGCCCCGATTTTTCACGCAAACAACTTAAGAGAATTAGGCATTGAATGCCTTTGCAAGGGTCAATGCACGTATGAAAAAGCTTACCTCGCGATCAAAATTTTCAAGGGCACAACTACAACATCAATAGGTTGAAGCACAAACCAATCCGTATTATGCTTGGTATAAGCTGCAATTAACCTTTGGCTTAAATTGTCTTTTCACCATATATTATGCTCGACCTTTCCGTAAACTTTATTTCCTCCCTGTTAAATTAGCCAGATCCCCTCTAAACCACCCCTCCTCCCCTTAGAAAATATATATTAACTAACCTTATTTTTATATACATTGAATAGTTAATATAATATAATTAAGTATTCTATATAATATGATTCTATTATTCTATATAGTTTAGCAAGTTTCAATAAGATGAAATGATGCGCCTGCAATCACTATTCCGCCCGCGATCTGGTTCTTGAGCCCGCTGGCTCTAGATATCTTTGACTAGGCCGCCGAACATTCGCCATTGAACCCCCGCCAAATAGTAATATCCGGCAGCCGTATCCGGCTGCTGCATATTCTTCCCTGTAAAAGCTCCCTGAAGATGTACCAGAGGTTGTTCATGAACACAGTTCTACAAAATATGTTTGAAAAAAAGATATTTCGGTTTATATCTGTTCACGCTCTTGATTTAATCCGGTCCTACCTTTCAGTGCCACATCGAGCCCATAGCTCATTATTTGTCATCCAATATCGTATATATCACAGTTGTTCTTATCGAAAATTTAAGAGGTTTGGTGCGCGGCTCTGAGCGGCAGAAAAACTCGACGAGGCTCCGACGACTCCACCGTTCCAACCTTTAACAGCAAGCCACTGACGGACCTTGGACCCTTGCCAAAGGTTGATCAGAGATTTCCGGGAGAACTTTATCAGAGAGCTCCACAAAAGACGAGCAGGCATAAATGCTTGCCAACATGTCGCTGGAGGAATGAAATCAGGATAAAAGCGGCAATGGAGTCACAACGGCACCTAGTCTATTGTTATTATCATTGCTTTATTATTTATTATTATTCTCATTAACGTCGTCATCAGAATTTTGGATTAAGTCACTAATCAGAGAAAGGTATGCGTGTCAAACAAGGTATTCAATTATCTTATCATTATGGCTACGCCTGATATTACTGTTCTTTCATGCAAGTAGCACCATTGATCAACTTTTGTCTATGAACGGTGTTTATAGCGACTTTCCTTAAACGAGCTAGTGGAGTAGGTTGTGGCTTTTGTGTGTCAAGAGGCTAGGAGTAAAACTCAAATAAATTCAAATAAATGACACTAGAAAGATCACATTCGAGTTGTCTCACTTCCGCTATGGAAGTAAACTATTTGAAGAAAATGCACAACAAAGTAAATTCCATCTAGATTTCTTTCCGACCAACAGTGCAAAGATACACCTGCACATTCCTTCAACGACACCAATTTAAATTCCTAAAATTCGTCAAGCACACACCATGGTGTCTTTTAGAAACTCATCCTTCCCCAATAAAAAAATAAAAAATAAATTTAAATTATTTATTTCCCATGACATAAAAAATGAAATAAATTATGTATTCTACATAGTATCCTTCTGTAATTCATGTTACTTAGGATAATGACCAAATCTTGCTAATTTTCAGTAAGATTATTTCTGGAAATTTCTGTGGTTTTTTACCTCACATTCAAATTGTGTATAATTAGATTGTATGTCGCTTAACAAGTTGCTTTATTAAATATTTTTAGCCACTATGTCAAGTTTCTCATTATGCCAGAAAAATTAACTATTGAAAATATTTTCGTTTGGTATGTCTCTTACAGCCATGAATCTAACTTGGCTCAAAGTACACCCTTAAAAAAAGTGTTTATAGTTAGAAAGTGTTCCCGATTTTAGAGTTTGAATTCATGGACACCATCTACATGTAAGCAGACATATCACATGTGTTACTGTCATATCACGCATCAACCAATCTCAAATATATGAAGACTCTGGATCTTCTAAAGAGGACACGTTAATAATCTATTCCTTGTCGGAGCGTTGGTGAAAGCCATGGAACCTGAGAGTAAAAATAAAATTTCCTCGGATAGACATAAATATGAATGAGGGATCAACATGCTCCAGGGTTCAACTACTCCATCGCCTGGAATGGAGCTCTAACTCCCCTTCGCGGTGTATGGAATCCCAACGTGATCCTGAGAGCAGTGGAGATCGTTCACTGCGCCGGAACTTTCACTCCCGGCCTACTGCCGGTGAGAGAGTCCGGCACTCTGGAAGCTCTTTGACGGGATGCCGGCGGCTCTTCGTTGGCTCCAACGGGCAAGAAAATTCTGAACAGTCGATTACTGTTGGACCTCCACCACAGCGGGAGGGTGGGTGAGCAGAGGCGGTCAAGTCGAGTAGTTCCGTGGTCTCCTCTCGTCGTCCGGAAAGATTCAGAAGCAGGTGCCTGTCGACGGGAACTCCCCGATTAATTAGCATCACTGGTATTTACACCTGGTCATTAATTAATGTTGCCACCATCTTCATATAATTATTTCTCGAAGGAGAAAATGGTAATCTGGTTCGAAAAATATTTTTCGATTCTTAGGAATATTATTACAATTGATCATATTGGTTCTCGTTCCATCCATCTTAAGCCATCTGAGAATTATTTCAACAAAGAAAGAGCTATAAAATATGTAGAAAAATTGAAAATGAGATTGATTTATAGAATTATACGAATGAGGAACTAAAACTCAGGTCAAAATGTAGGTAAATATATCAGGGAGCCAAAATATACGCAAGAGTGTAGAAACCCGATTGTCGCATGTAGCCTCGAAGGCCCCTGCGTCTTGAGTAGCCTTTAATCTGTCTCTTTCTCATTTTCTCATTCCCGTCAGATTGTTGCAAGCGAGAGAGGGAGTGGTTTTCAACCCTTAAGTTGTTAGCGCTCTACCACTTATCCAGATAGGAGCCACTGCATATCTTCCATCACCATGGACTTCCATAGATGAGAGAGAGAGAGAGAGAGAGAGAGAGAGAGAGAGAATGTAATCTAGAGGCCTTACGTTACTAATGTAATAAATATAATCAGTAGTTTAAATCACCAAAACGTCGAATATAACTATTTTTAGAGGCCTTCAACTCCAGCTGAAGAACGAAAGGGCTTGTTTATGATTCAGTAGGTTTGTAGACTTTTAAAACTGAATAATCTATTTTTCTTATTAGTACATCAAAATAAATTACGAGGAGGTTTTCATTTCTCTATCTATGGAAGTAGATAGTCTTTCCGAATATATTATCAAATATTGGATTGAGTAGTATGTTGTATGCTGAATGAATCGTCATCCTGGGTGTACGCCGTTGGAGAGGTAGGGGTCGCAATCTCATATTGCATTCCTCTGTGAACTTTGCCCAAAAGCATTGATCAATCTAGTCGGATATGCGCAATCTGAGTTATTAAAAATGGGGGGGAGTAGAGAGAGGATTATGATTATGGACGATAGAGAACGACAGACTGCCCATATTACGAGAGAGAATGGGAAGACATGGTTCAATTTTCGAACTGCTTATTTTCTCTCGTGCAGCTTGTCGGCTGCTTGCTAGTCTCCCTAGGATGCACTTATTTTCTTGAAGAAGATTCGTAGCGGCGGACAAAGAACGGCCACCTCCCCTTCAAACGGGATTCCACTCCGCCCTCTAGCTTCCTACCTATGGAGATCTTTTACCCTGCAGCTTCTCCCAGACCAACCCCCCTCCACAACCAATCCTCCTCCGCCCCCTCGCATTCACAGGAGTATTCAACTCTGAATGAACCGGCCTTTTGAAACACTTTACCTCCCTCTCTAGCTCAAAAGTACAAAGAGGCTGTGGGTCTTTCAGCCTTCTCTTCAGAATCTGGACAGGATTTGACAGCATGTAGATTCTGAACAGCAATACTACTCTTGAGGCTATATCATCGCCGCAGGGGGATGGGAGACACCAAGAACAACCGATTCATTGAGCTCCTCTCATGGTGCGGAAAATGCACTCGTTGGAAAGGTCCAGATCTGCGCCGCCTCCACAGTGACGCGACTGAAAGATTTGGACCTCTTTCCCGCCAACTTGGTACATCAGTCCGTAATAGCGTTCCTGAACTCCAATGGACAGAATAAGCTTTATAAAGGTCGGAAGGGTCTAGGGCTGTAGGGTCGTTTGAACAATGTTGGACTACAGCGGCAAAACGGTAATGCTGAGGAGGGGAAGAAAAATGAGAGATTATCCTTGGGCAATGAGAGTCATTTTATGAAGGTCCGCCGTCCTCCCTCGGTGTTACATTCCGCGCTATGGAGGAAGAGAGAACTTCGTCTTGACAAGTGACTCTTCGGAGAAGGAGGATGGGTACTGCCGCTGGGTGCACAGCCTCGGATGAAGTAGTGCAAGGGGGGAAGGCCAGTGGAGTTCGTATAGAGAGGAAACTCTAACCTTACCAGCTCCGGGAAAGTCATTTTAATTCTCATTGAATAGGGTACGTTAGTATTTTCTCAGCATGGAAGCGCAATGTTTACAATTACTAGCCATAATTCCGCATGATTCCTTTTCGCTTTGATGTAGCTCGCAGTTCCGGTCTGTGCTGTCATTAGATTAACATCATTACGGCGACGTGATAAAAAATTGACCTGAGAAACCTTTATCTCTTACTAGTGATCAGTGCACGCTAATACCAAGGATCTTTTTCTCGATGTTTTTCTCCTGGTTAAGGCTTAGGATGTGGATGCTGCGTTTTACCTGGGGTAGCACTCGACCCGTATAGTACATGTATAATTCCAACCTCAGGGGCTCATTACAAGTAGTTCTTCGAAAATATGACCTACAATTCTCCTCTTCTTTTGCGAGCCTTGTCGAGGATTCTTCTTCGATTCTCTCCTTTTTCTCCTCAGTGGTACTGAAGAGACTCGAAATTTTGGATGAAAATTGATATTTTTCTCATGCTGGCTATTTTTCGTGTAAATCCCATGTGGAAAGCTTCGTCCATATTTATTATAATTTACGTTTTGGTCCCTGACGTGGTGTCAAATGACTTCCCTCTTGATTCGTCCGTTACACGAGAAGAATCATAATTTTGTTGGAGCGTCTTTCCAAATGCCGTGGAAGCCATAGGACGATCTAACGAGAGAAAGAAACAGGGATAGATGTGTCTACATGTACGCGTACATATTAATATATAGGTGAGAGGGAGGGGGGAGAGGCAATGATATTTGCACATGTACGTACATCAACATAGGGTGGAGACAGAGAAGTGATTTACACATTATTATTTGGCAGCCTACGATTTAGTGCAGTCGACGACACCGACAAACCAGAGAATATACAAGCAAAGAGATCAAGTCTTCGCGACAGCCTATGGGGTAATCCATGCACGAGGGGCTCGGTTTTTCATAGGTTCTAAAGAGCAAACGCTCGTTGGGTCTGTATTAGTGGCTCCATCGAGCTGGACGATGAACTCCCCTCCTTCCTGTTGATGTCGGGCACGCCGACCCAGTACCGCCGGTACTCATTCCTCCCTCCCCTTCCACAGTTGCCATTCCCATTTTCCTCTCAACCATAATGGCGTGAGCTCAGGAAGTGATTGGAGGGAATGGAGACGGTGTCCTGAGAGAATAGCAAGTCTTCCCTGCACATATGTTAAGCACAAAGGTTTGTCCTGATATATTTGCCTTTCCGCTCTCCAAAGCAGTTGGATCCAAATGAACGGTGAAGATTGATTTAACGGACATGACAACACTAGAACGACAACTGTCATATTCTCAGGAAATAAATAATAAAAGCTTTATATTAACCAAAAGGCATTATTTTCAAGGCAGAGCACAAGTTCTTTTCCTATGAAAATATAATTCCAAACACAGCCTACGTTTATTGTCCTAAGGACAAAGCAAATATTTAGTCAGCACACCAGTGGTGTTCTGGAATAGCTCTACATCAGTTACTGAAAGACATCTATGTGACGATAAATAAAAGGTTACCCCATTAATCGTCAAGTATTTCACTAAGAGATGGGTTATTCAGTGAACCTAGAGGAGTGTAGTCGAGAAATAAATTGACCGTAGCAGGATTTTTAATCCTCTTTCAATAAGTTTGAAAGAAAACTTTAAGTGAGGTTTTCCAGAGTATATTTAGTTCCACTTCCAGATTTTATTTTACCGCACTGAATTGCTAATGTAATTTTATGGATTACCAAGACGTAAGCAGGAACCAGCCCATAAAACGTGCATTAATATGAGATACCTTCCTCACAGCTAGAGGAAAATAAGGAGAAGATACCGTTGCTGCATCTCCGTCTCCTAACCATGTCTAAGGACAACTGGGGACTCGTATAAAATTTGAATGTCTACCATCGGGTCTGATCTCTGCAGGTAGATTTAGCCTGGAACTCCTAGGATTTTCTTCCTCTTTATCTCAGTTGGGTGAAACATGCACGCCATGAATGCCATCAAGCATAGCTTTGATCCCTTTAAATCTCCTTTTAAGGAAATATATTAGAGATCTACAGATATATGTGCTCGTATGTAGATATAACAGACACTTTATTATGTATATAAATATATACATATATATATATCATAAAAAAAAAGGGAGAGGGAGAGAGAGATATATTAGATAGCAGTGGCGACAACAGGGACGATGATGAATCAAGGAGTCCATTATTTCTTATACTAATCTGCAACACATTAGGAAAAGGGGAAAGGACAATTTATTCTAATGAGGGGGCCGGCTTGCATGGGGAGCAGAATCAGGAACTTAACGTAGAAGCCAGGTGACGAGCAGAAGGGCGAAGCAAACGGACTAGGAAAGTACTGCGAGGATCTGGCTCTCCAAATCGGCGACTCGGTTCCTGTTGTAGAATCTGGCGATGAACTCGGTGGCCTTCCAGTCAATGTCTGGCTCGCCGACCCACCGCTCCCTGTCTTCGTCGCTTATCCATACCCTCTCTCTCTTCATCGGCTCCGCCTCCTCCGCTTCCCTCCGCTGTCCCGGCCTCCTCAAGCGGAGCTTGAAGAAGATTGAGAAGAAGAACCTCGCAGAAGAAGGCTTGCTACATCTCTTACCTCCCATCGCTCTCCACGACGTACTCCTGTACCTTACCTACTCTTCTCAAAACAGATGTCTGTTCGTTTGGAACAACACGAGGAGAAACCAGAGTTCTTGCTTCATTCAATCGAAAACTCTGTTATTTATAGCGACGTCGGAACACTGTGCATGGTCATGAAGAGTTGGAACCCGTCGCTTTCTCTCCCTCTCTCTCCCTCTCTCTTCCCATTTGCTTTTGACCGAGACTACCTTTCTTCATCACCAACTCATAGTGACAGTTGATTCGCAGTGGACCTTCCTCTTTCGTCCTGATATTTTTTTTCTTTCTGGAGGAATCAAAGGGCCTGTTTCTTCCTTCTCCTCTATAGCTAACATATCCCAACGTACACACTCTACGGAGTCGATTTGGAGAATTATCTGTGTCCATCTCTGCACATCTCCCCCCCTCCCTAATTCTCTCTCCATCTTTCTTGCTCGCTCCCTCACTCCTGCTCTCTCGTTGGCTCAGACGATGCACGGTCTTAGATGATGGCATGATATCCCTCTCGCTAGGTTCGTCCTCGATTTCTTTCGCAATCATCTAGTGATTATTTTGCAATTCACACCTCTTTGGATAGTTTACAGCGAAGAATATGATGTATGACAAAATTGACGCTCCATCGATTATGGATATGCGACACCATCTCGCTCCACCCCACCCGTCCTCCCTCTCTCTCTCATCACCCAGGAAGCCTAATGGGCCTCCAAATGCCATGCTATCCATGGGACATCCACGGGACCCATTGGCCGCTTCACAGTTCAGATTCCCAATGAGATCTATAGATGAATGGATGAGCGTTCGAATTGTAACGTTCTTTCCCTCTCTCCCTTCTTTCGAGCTGCAATTTTAGGTAGAATCTCGTTTCTATGTACCAGGCCGTCAGCACGGGAAGTTCAGCCCCCATTTATACAGCGGAGTCATCGTCCGGAGCGCAGAAGGATTCCATGCCTCGCGATTTTTTTATGGGCGAAATGCAAATTTTCGACATTTAATCGAATGATCGATAAATGGGATCGTCGATGGGCCAAGCTGGACCTGTCAGGAATCCCATCGCCGAACCGAGAAGAGAGAGATACATAGACGGAGACAGACGAAAAAAGTGTTGAAAGAAAAAGATGAGAGAATCTAAGATATACGGCAAGGGAAAGGGAGAAAAGAGGAAGACAGACAGAGCGAAAAGAACAAAGAAGGAGAGACGAAGAAAGAGAACAGTAAAGAGAGACGATTTCTTATTAGTAGTAAGCTAACAAAGATTTCGCTTCAATGCTGAGAAAATACTAGCGTATCCGATTCAACGAAAATTGAAAATGGCTTTCCGGGAGCTGGTAAGATTAGAGTTTATGCTCCATACGAACCCCACTGGCCTTCCTCCCCTCAACTATTTCATCGGAGGCTGCGCACTCAGCGGCACCACCCATCCTTCTTCTCCGTAGGGTCACTTGTCAACACGAAGTTCTGTCATCTTTCTCCATGGCGCGGAAGCCAACACAGACGGAGGACAGCAGACCTTCATAAAATGACTCTCGTTGCCCAAGGAGACTCTCATCTTTGTTCCCCCTCTCAGCTCTACGTTTTGCCACTGCAGTTCACCATTGCTCAAGGAACGCTGCAACCCTATGCCAGAAACCCGAAACGCCTTCCCTCCGCCTCGCCCCACTCTACAGATCTTTCTAAAGCTTATCCAGTCCAATGCAGCTGAGGAACGCTCCTACCGACAGATCTACCAAGTTGGCGACGAGATCCAAATCTTTCAGCCGCGACCCTGTGGAGAAGGGGAAGATCTGGAGCTTTCCAGCGAGTGCAATTTCCGCACCACGAGGGGAGCTCGATGAACCGGTTGTTCTTGGTGTCTCCTATCCCACTACGGTGGTGGTATAGCCTCAACAGTAGTATTACTGTTGAGAATCTTAAATGCTGTCAAATCCTGTCCAGATTCTGAAGAGAAGGCTTAAAGGTCAGCAGCCTCATTCAGAGTCCGATTGACGTGGGACAAATGGACGAGAATGCACAAGTACAGATAAAAGTCTAGCAATTTATGACTAGAAGAGTCGTTTAATTAAAGGGAAAAGGTCTTCAAATAGCTAAAAATCACTAGCGAATAGAAATGTCTAATCGATCGATTTAAGAAAACTATTGATGTAGCATACTACTCGACGTATCAGAGATCAGTTATCACGTAGTTATGATCGTCGACATATGCAATAAAATGGCTACTTCGCTGATCTCTCGGCGGTGATTGCAAGAAGATATATTAAAGAAACAAGTAATAAAAGTATGAGAGCGAGCGAAAGTGTCTGTGATGGGGGAAGAGATGTCGACACGACAGAATATTCGTTCGCAGGCTTCGACAGGCAGTCGTGTCGCAGGCTTCGACACGGCAAACCACAGGGTCGACACAGTGGGGGGAAAACGATGGAGGAGGTGAGGAGGGTGGATGGTGGCGATACTGGGGCTCCAACCGGGCAACTTGGTCCTCACAACCAACTCCTACCGGCAGCGACAGGGTTCTCTCAACCAACTCCAACCGGGACGACAGGATCTGAAATCTCAATCAAAATGCACTGACTCGAAAGGTAGGGTTTGAAGCCTTTCAAGGTCCTTACAGTTCCGAAATAAAGATAAAAATAATGGACAATTAATATTAGAAGAAGTCGTCAAAATCAGGACGATTGCGACGACGACGGAACGGCGGTGGGACTTCGCATCCTCCTCTGGCTGAGGAACTTGCGCCGCTTGGTATTCAACGGATTCAGGAAGTTGCTGGACGGCTCCGGAATTCCAGCAATCTGTGAGCGAGGCGCTTTGGATCCAAGCTGCGGGACATCCAAAATTCCTGCAAAGGTGGCTGAGTCTACAAGGGGCTCCGATCCTCCATCAGCGATACTACTGTCGTTAGTGGGGGCAAGAGGTGGGGGTTGTGTGTGTCAAAGATCTCGACAGGTAGGAAGCTAAATCGCAGAATCTTATCGGTAGGAGAGGTGGCCATTCTTCATCCGCTATGAAGTTTCTTCAAGAAGGAGATAAGTGCAAATGAGAGAGACCAGGAGGCAGCCGACGAGCTGCATCAAAGAAAATAGGGAAATTTGAATCTTGAAGCATGTATCTCCATGGCGTGTCCAACTGTGGCCATATGTCGTCCCAATCCTCCATAATCAAACCAGCTATTTTCTCTCTACTCTCCACATTTTGAATAGTTCAACCTGCGCGAGGCACAATCCTTTAATAATTCTTTGATGCATGTCTGACTAGATTGCTCAATTCTTTTGGGCGAGGCTCACAGCAGAATATAAGAGATTCCAGACTATGCCTATGCGACGGAGTGCAAAAAGCTACTTAATCCAATATTTGATATATATTATAGAAAAATAATCTATTTTCATACATATTCAAGTAGAAAATTCCACATTTTGTTGTACCATCGATGAAGTAGGAAGCAATCATTTTGTTTCAAAACTCTACAACCCTACGGAATCATCGATGAGGGCTTTTAGTCTTCAACTGGACTTGAAGATCTCAAAAAATCATTATATTCGTTGATTTTTCATTGAAACTATCGATTATATTTAATATACAATTTACCTAAGAACAAGTATATGGTATGAATAATTACATTCTCTCTTCCCCTCTCTCTCTCTCTACAATCTGACGGGAACGATATAATGTGAAGCGAGAGACAGAGATAAATGACTACTCGAGACGCAGGGGCCTTCTAGGCTACATACCACAACCGGGCTTCTACACTCTTGCGTATATTTTGGCTCCCCTGCAATATTTTACCACATTTTGGCCTCAGAATTTTAGTTCCCCATGCGTATAATTCTATAAATCAATCTCAGGAAAACTTAATGATTAATAAACTTTCAATTTTTCTACATATCTTATAGCTCTTTCTTTGTTGACATAATTCTCAGATGGCTTAAGACGGATGGAACGAGAACCAATATGATCAATTGTAATAATATTCTTAAGAATCGAAAAATATCTTTCGGACCAGGTTACCCTTTTCCCCTTCGAGAAATTATTATACGAAGATGGTGGCAACCTTAATTAATGACCAGGTGCCGATACCAATGATGCTAATTAATCGGGGACTTCCCGTTGACAACCCCCTGCTTCTGAATCTTCCCGGGCGACGAGGGGAGCCCACGGAACCAATCGACCTAACCATCCCTGCTCACCCTCCCTCTGTGGTGGTCCAACAGTAATAGACTGTTCAGAATCTTCTTGCCCGTTGGTGCCAATGAAGAGCTGCCGGTATCCCGTCCAAGAGCTTCCAGAGTGTCGGACGCTCTCAGCGGCAGTAGGCCAGGAGTGAAAGTTCCGGCGCAGTGAACGTCTCCACTGCTACAGGGTCGAGGGGATTCCATCCACCCCGAATGGGTGTTGGGGCTCCATCCCAGGCCATGAAGCGGTTGAACCTTGGAGCATGTTGATCCCTCATTCATATTTATGTCTATCCGAGGAAATTTTATTTTTACGCTCAGGTTCCATGGTTTTCACCAACGCTCCGACAAGGAATAGATTATTAACGTGTCCTCTTTAGAAGATCCAGAGTCTTCATATATTTGAGATTGGTCGATGCGTGATATGACAGTAACACATGTGATATGTCTGCTTACATGTAGATGGTGTCCATGAATTCAAACTCTAAAATCGGGAACACTTTCTAACTATAAACACTTTTTTTAAGGGTGTACTTTGAGCCAAGTTAGATTCATGGCTGTAAGAGACATACCAAACGAAAATATTTTCAATAGTTAATTTTTCTGGCATAATGAGAAATTTGATGTAGTGGCTAAAATATTTAATAAAGCAACTTCTTGAGCGACATACGATCTAATTATTTACAATTTGAATGTCCGGTAATGAAGCACCGAAAATTTGTCAAATAATCTTATTGAAAGGCCGAAACATTTGGTAAATTTGCTCAGCAGAATGAAATATACAATTGATACTATAGAAGTATAAATTAGTACCATTTTTT